CACACCACAAAAATTCCCAAGCTCAGGCACTACTTTCAAACCCATCTATGAAAAACCTGCCTCTTCTGCAGCTCAGCACAGCAGAAAGTCTAAGCTCCTGGCTGATGGATCCAGAGCTTTCACAAAAGCTCAGTTCTTCCCTCTGCCTCAGGGGTGAAGCCTCCAAACTGGTCTAGAGCCACCTGGGTGGCTCTAGAAGTGGCGGTGTGACAACACGTCATGACGCCCGTCTCTCCTGGAAGGGTCTCCTTCCACACAGCAAAACAAATGTAAGGTTTAGAAATCCAAATGTCATCTGAAAAAAAACACTGAACTTTGAAAAGTAACAAATAAACCCTCCAGCTGCAGACAGGCTGTACAGTCTCATTGCTCAGCAGACAGCAAATTAACAGACTGCTAATGCAACCGACCCCTGTTCCTGAGGACAAGTGCCTCATCACCTAAAGGCATGAATTCTCCAAAGAAGTCAACCAGTACCACAGTACTGCAGCTACTGGTACAGAAAGTGCTTGCAAGCAATGGTTAAGTTCTCTGTGGTCACAAGCAGGTCTTGCTTTACTGAGAAAAGGAACAAGGTTATAAACTTGTACCCAGTCAGGAGGACATTATCAGTGCCAGATTCATCTGTAAGCTGCCCTCACCTGCACGGATGTTCTTGTTCTTTTCCAATTTCAAGAGAATTTGCATTTATTTCTAAGAATCTGGAGCAGCTAAACCTAGAAATTGTTCTCAGAAAGGACAAGAAAATCATGATCAGTAGTAGTCACCAGGAATTCGCCACGGGGAAGTCACACTTGACCAACTTGATAACCTTCTACGATGAAACAACTGGCCTGGTAGACAACGGGAGAGCAGGGGGTACTGTCTACCTAGATTTCCATCAGGCTTTCCCATACTGTCTCCTGTAGGATCCTCCTTGTGAAGAAGCTGTTGAAGTCCAGGCAGGAGGAGCCGACAGTGAGGTAGACTGAAATGGCTGGTCCCAGAAGGTGGTGATCAGTGGCACAAAGTCTAGTTGGAGGCCTGAAGTAGTGGTGTGCCCCATTTTCGTTACTGAGCTGGATGATAGGGAAGAGAGTACCCCCAGTTTGCAGATGACACCGAACTGGAAGGAGTGGCTGATACTCCAGAAGGTTATGCTGTCACCCAGAGGTATCTTGCCAGGCTGGAGTCATAGGCAGGAACACAATGAAGCTCAAGAAGTGCCAAGTCCTTCACCTGGGGACAAAAAACCTCAAACAGAAACACGGGACGAACTTGAGTCTTGCTCGGGGCCTCTTCCACCAAGCGCTGCAAGGACAGAAAGTATTCCCTCGCAGGACTTTTGTTTGCGGAGCAAGAAAGATTTAAGAGGTTCAAGAACCTCTTTGAAGCTTTCTCTACATTTCCTTCTCACTATGAAAACCACGTGGGGTTACAACGAATGCTCTCTGCTGCACAGAGGGTGAAATACCCTGACACACTCAGGCAAACCTACCGCAGGAGCCTGACTTCAGAGAAGCACCTCGAAAGGCAAAGGCTTACAGAGATGACAGCGTGCAAACACCATCTCGCTCTCAGATGAATTTGCTTCAGAAACCACAGCTCACAGCTAAGAACACTTACCATTCTCTGTGGTTAAAAAAAATAAAAAGCAACTCCACAAGGAATGTGAGTTTTGGTTGCGTTGTTGCAAGCACAGAGCAACAAGGTGCAACTCCAACTCTCCAATCTTCTGCAAGACCTTGGGCGAGACGCTTTTTGGAGCTGCCTCCCTCCCTCTTTCTACGGCCAGTCAGAGTTCTTTGGAGCAACAACTCTCACCTTTCACTGGCCAAGCAAGATTAGATTTTGACAACGGTAACGTTAAAAATGTTCCCAGCTGAAATTCATTGCAGGCTAAGTAAATGTTCAGAAAATACAATCGTAACCTGCGTATGTAACGATGGGCTCCGAAATAGCTGTTACCGCTCAGGAACGAAAAGTTGGGGTTAACGTGACCACAAAAGCTTCAAGTCAAGACTTCTCTACTGTTAAAATAGAAGCCAGTGTCAGGAATTAGGAAGAGAACAAGGCAGCAAACGGTTATGCCATTATGCAAATCCCTGCTCTTAAGACTTCAGGGTTGATAATGGACTAGAGACACCTTGTTCAGCTCTAGGCTGACACGTCCTACACGTCCCTCTTAGCTTGCTGCTGGCTTCAGGACACTGCCAAATCTCTCCTAAGCAGGCATCTAATCTAGATTCCCACGAGCAATGAACAGTTCATACTTAGCACGAGAGGAGATTCAGTTATTCAGCACATTAGAGAATCAGAGTATTTACATGTGTACTTAAAACGTGGAATTAAAGTTTAACTTTAGGAAATCGAGGCCAAAAATACCACACGCTTCATCTGAAGCAGTATAACCAGGTCACCACCTTCTTCATTTTCTGCAAAAATGTAACGTTTTAAAGCACCACACAAAACTAAAAATATTATTGCTTCAAGCCACAATTACAAGTAGATGCCTTAAAAAAAAAAAGGTGGGTGCACAATTTCAAGTACGCAGAGACGAGCAAACAAAGCTTTGTAGTTGCAGTGAAGGACTTCAAATTCAGTGCTGCTGAGAGTTTTGAGAGGGCACTGATGAATCGTGGAAGGAAAAACAAAACATGTCCAAGCAGTAAGAGCTGGAGGTGTTAAACAAAGAGTAATTTGAGAAACTACTAGAAATAGAAATAAGCCAGTAAGGAGATTCCAGAGGAGGTAGGAAGTAGATAAATTCAGAATCAAATTTTTAAAGGCTCGCAAGATACAGCCAGAGCTGAGAAAGTCTGAGCCAAGTGGAAGAACACGCATTTGCAGAAAAAAAAAATTTAAAAAATGCTTCCTACTATCTGTGACAAGCAAGGTCTAAGGAGCTCAGCTGGTACGTCTGATCCTTTTCAAGTTTGCACACCCGTGTTCAGATTTCCTGTGGCAGCACCTAGAGGACAAATGCTCACAAATCAGGCTCCAGCCCCATGCGTTTGTACAGCACCCATCAAAGTACCCACAGAGATCAGACTAAGGCCACATGGGTCTGCGAATGCTTTAGGAGGAGGTATGATGCTTTGTGACCCCCACGGTACAGAAAAATACTTTATTTATAGCATGAATCTCCTACACAAAACACTACAGGAACAAATCCTCTTGCCTACATTTCCAGGGGTAAAACTTTATCCCCAAGTCTTCGACCACAATAAGGATTTTTAGGACTAAATGGTTCAAAACTTGCCAGTAAAGAAACTCTCGGCAAACCAATGACCTCCGACTCGTCAAAGTGGGAGTTCAGAAGCTGGTATTACAGAGAAAACAGCAACAGCTGGTCAGAAGACACACAAAAAAAGGTTTGTTTATCCCAGGAAATGCTTACAGCTAGTCACTAAAACCAGAGGTATTTGCTGAAATAAGAGCCATAAATAAACCATGTTGCTTAAAGCCGAGTTGTATTTCAAGCCAGGCTCAGATCATACTAAATCTCTTATCTGCGCTTAACTTTCGACAGCATGCCACTCAACATTATTTGACTCTTGGAAACAAATCTATGCTAATGCTTATTAGGCTAATTTCTTTGTTTTACTACACCGGAGCAAAGGCCTTGAAACGTTGCTCAAGGTCAAACAGAAAACATAACAGCAGAGCAAGCAACAGAATCCAGATTCTGCTGTTGCCCTGAGTCCTGTGCTTTTATTATTAGCTGGGCTGGTTCTTCGCCTCCGCTGCAGAGAAGTTTTCTGGTGGATTACAACTCCTGCCGGCTGCCCCGACCGACTCTGTGGGACAGCCTCGTACAACAGAAGAGGACAGTAAGGAAGCCAGCACACAGCAGGTAAAATACAAGTCGTGGTTTGTTTTTGTTCTTTTTTTAAAAAAAATTGTTTTACAAGCATTTGTACAGAGGCTGGTGGAACACGAGCAGACAAAATAAGCCAAACACAAGACCAAGGGTTTGTCCTATAGATTTGCAGCCAACACTTATTAATAAAAGGGCAAGAACTAGATATATTCACAGCGTTGATCAACCACAGTACATGTGTGGAACAGGGAAAAGACACCCAGCATCAGCTTTCAAACAGCTAGAACGCCCTCAGAGCTCACTTCCATTTTAATATCTGCACGATTCTAGGTGTGAGGAGCACAGAGACAACCGCCATCGCTGCACAGCCACCTCTTGCCAACTCTTTGTTACACACGGTTGCCAAAGTAAAAGCAAATATAAAACCAGGAGCAGAGCCCTGTGTATTACTTCACATCAGGTTAAAACAAAGGAGTCGTAGTGTTTAGTAGTTTAGTTTGTCAGCTCTTCAGGTTTTCCCATGAGAATCTTCTTCCATCGCCTGTACTTTGCAAAATTCCACTGGTATTCCTTCTCGAAAAAAAAAGCAAAACCCAAAAAACCTAGCTCTGATCTTATTTGACCTGAAATACACAGAGAAAGCAAATGCCAGGTTTGAATCAAGTAAACCAAAGGTCAGCTACCTGTGTGACATCAGCGAGACTCTGATAGCTGGCCAGATACAAGAATGAGTTTTCCTCAGTCCTACCTACAGCATTTCAGTAACAACCTGTAATCAAGTTAATCCGGCTACTTCCAGCAAAGACTGCCTGACAGCGCAGAGCTCCTGCTCACAGTTCACTCATTCTGACTCAAATGGCCAAGCATTTTAAATTCCTTCCTCCTTCCATTTCCCTGGGTTAAACGTGCGTTTTCTTTGGATTTGGGAAGAAAGACAAGCTCATTCCTCGTTACTTTACTCTCCAGTCTGGCACAGAAAATATTGTCCTGGAGTCAGGAGAGAACAAACTAGCTGTCAGCTGTCCAACAACCCCAAATCGCTCTGGCTGAGAAGATGGAGGACTTAAGAGAGCAAAGCTGTAACTCTGAGAGATGCCATCGGGAAAGGGGAGTACGACAGCACAGAGTCCTTTTCCAAAGCTTCCCACTTTATCGTGTGGATGCGGCACAGGGACTCCACGATGAAGCACCAGAACAAGGAAAGCAGGAATACAGACAAAAGCATCTCCTCAGCAATACATTTTTGAAAAAGAACGAAGTCATCTGAAAGCTCAAAAAAACCAAAAAAGCACGATCCCCAGAGCACTAAGCAGATTTGTGCAACTCAAAACCACACAGACGTGAATCTTACTTTCAAAGGGCTTTATATTACAAAAAAATGTAAGTCACAACGAATGTGAAAAATCCATTCAATGAGGCTTGTTTCCAGTCTGCTAGGAAAGCTACTTTTCTCTTCTTTATTCCCAGCCTACCGCTGAAAACCTGATTGCCAAAACAGTGACACCTCGAGCTAGATTTTTAAAATCAAACTTGCTCTGCCAGATCCAGTACTCTGAACTTGTCCAGGTTGTAGAAACAAGCCTTCACGACTCTACCTCCGAAGTATCTTCCATTTAGATCCACAACAGCTGGAATTGAAACCAAGAACAGGTGAGCAAGCAGCAATTCAGCAAAATAAACATTTCTTTTGCTAAACAGCCTCATCAATGAGACTGTTTAATCTCTCTACAGAAGTTAACTCCAAGGTTCAGAGGACACAATTTAGTACCCTACCTTTGATGGCAGATTCAACCCGTTCAAACTCTAAAAATATTCTTACAGCTTCATCATCAGGGGCACCAGGAATCTGAAACAAAACACACACACATACAAAAAAAAAAAAAAAAGACAACAAACCATAAGTAATTAGAACAATAGCAAACCTACTATTTTAAAATGCTGCTCTCCACAAAAGTAATGAAGAGAATACAATAAAAAGGTTCCAAAGGCACAGTTTCTTACACTAAAAGTTTGTATCTTGCAGATATGGAAAATCCAGAATCACAACACAGCAAAGGACCCTGGCAAGATGTTCTGCTCTACACCCCTTCTCTCAGGCAGGAACAACCCAGACGTGAGGGACAGAGTGCCCAGTTGGCAGTCAAAGAGAGACAGATCATTTCTTACCTCAAAGATGACGCACTTCCCAACCTTGCCGTATTTCTCGCATTCCTCCTTAGTTTCAACTTCGAGATCTTCGTCCACCTCCCCAGCACCTACCATGTTCTGAAAGTTAAAAATATAAACCCAGCTCAGGGGATGCAGTCTGTGCGCACAATTACAGAGACAGGTCATGGACACATGCATCTGTGACCACGAGTATTTTAATTTGCCAGTCAAAAACCACAGGAGGAGACAGTTCCCTTGTACTTAGACAAGGTAACTGTATAATCTAAAGCACTCTTGATTTACAGTCACAACATACATCTCGGGAAGAGACACATTTCCTTCACAACACAAAGCCCTGTGCAGGTGCAGGCCAGAACCGTTCAAACTGCACAAAGTCATTGTAAAAAAACCCCACAGGTTTAAAACATTTCAACCAGTCACGTGTGCTGCCAACACCAAGACGTGTTCTCTTCCTCCCAACTTACCCTAAGCAGGACCACTTTAGTTGGGCATTTCAGTATCTCAGTCAATGGGTTAGAATCCGTTTTCTTGCCTGTTTCTGCGAGGAAGAAAGAACAGTGACTCATGGAATAACTGTAGATTAAAGCTTGTTTCAACCTTATATGAGAGCTTTTATCTGAATCTTGCTGCTACCAAATAAAAGCCACACAATGTAGTTTCATACTGGTGAGGAATTCAGAACTCGTAGCTATGTGGAAGGACAACAAGCAGAAAAATCACTGCTACAGAATGCGAATGAAGCTAGAACTTTGACAATGTACTATTTACATGAGGAAAATCATTCACAGGTTTAGAATTTTATCAGATCCCCTGATGTAAGGTCAGATTTGTATCAGATCTTCTGATTTCCAACACTTGTGCTCAGGCAGAAGTGCTGTTCCAGTAAGCCTGGATGTTGTCACCAGATCAGACAACAGCAGGGGAATGACAGCAATTTCTAAAGCACATGATAGGGAGAGAGCCAGTAGGAGCAGAGAAGGATCAACCCCTGAAGAGAAGAGGCTTCCAAATACCAAAGGAAGACAAATGAGAGGGGAAGGAGAGGATGAGCTAAAATAACTACGAGGACCAGTTTAGGAAAAGATAAAAAAGAGATACATTTCCACAAGAAGGAACATGAGTCATTCTTCCAACTCTATTTAGTATTTTCCGATGGCAAACAAAAAATCCAGGAGCATCCACTGAGCCTGGACTGTTATTTTCCCCTGACCATCTTCTACAAACTTATTGGTGTAGGACAAAATTACCTTTCTCTGTAGATTCACCAACAATGATCTTGCCACCCCTCTTGCTCGTTTTCTCTACTGACAGTGCTGTGCTCAGCCCCTGCTCGTGCTTTCCCAGCCCCTGGCCCTCTCTGAAACCATATTTCTGCATGATTTTATGAGCTACTGTCCCTCTGCAAAGAGAAAAAGCATCAGTTAGTAAAGGTCTCTCACACAAAATATTAACATTGCCTTTCTCCTGAGTGCTCAAATACTCTACCCTCCTAAAATCTAACTACACAGAGGCTGAAAACATAGAAGCTTCTATGCAAACTTACAATCCAGCAATTTCACAGCGCCCCATGATGATAAGTGTTATCCCCTGAATTACAGATGGAAGAGTTGTCAGAGAATCTCACTAAATAAAAGAGTTCGTACTTTTACAAATACAGCCCAACTTGTGTTAGCAGTGCAAGTCAGCATCATACACTCTATAGAACAGTTTTGGGTTGGAAAAGACCTTTAAAGCTCAGCTAGCCCAATCCCTCCGTTGTGGACATGGGCATCTTTCAGTAAATCACACTGGTGACATTAAATCATAAACCAGATTAGACCAAGGCCTATTTAGTCCAGTTTCTTGTCTTTGTCAGTGGCTGGTAGCTTAAGAGAAAAGGCAGATGTAGAATACCTACTTCCCACATTAGAACACACTCCACTATCTACTAGTTCAAAGCTGGTGTAAGCTCCCGAGTATGTAGCTTTACTAGCCCTTCCTTTAACAAATCCAGATACGCTCCGTGTTAAATACGCCTCATCTTTCTGTATTTTCAGGAACATACTGAGGCAATAAAATTCTTAAGCTATTTTATGGTACTTTTTTTTTAATAAGTACCTTACAAAAAGGACCTCCACTGACAGGTTTTGAAATTCTGTCTGAATGAATATTTAGAATCAAATTATACCTACATGTGTTGACATTTCTTTGGAAACTGGATATAGATAGGCCAAGACAGAAAAAAACATGCCATGGTATACTCGTTTAAACCACAGTAAACATTCTATGCTCAGTCACCCCTGTTTGGTGCAAATAGGCAGGGAAAATTGCACGGAAAATGCAGGACCGGTGACTACATGACTGTTTTCTAAGCATCCTATATGAAACGTACAAAGACATATATAGAATAAACAGTAGTCGATTGCGTGGTCAAAATAAGGCAGGTTACATGTAGTTTTAGCACTTCCTTCAAGAAAGTGAAGGTCCTATGGTATTGCTAAAAAAGTGGTAACAATGCGTTAAGTCCAAAGGGGCTGAGTTTAATTATCCTTTTTTGGACAACATGAAAAACACCTCAAAACTTTTCTATGTATATATAAAAAACCAAGAAAAATTGTCTCCAAAACAGAGATGCAGCATAGTAACATAATAAACTGGACTTTTACGTCTGTGTTCCTCTTGCATATAGTTTTGACTATACTGAGACTGCATTTCCACAACACCCAACGTGGTTAAAAAGAGGACCAGAGCTAACCACGACACCTTTAAAACGAGGTCTCAGGGCTGTTTTTAAACTATAAATTTGACTTCTCTTTGCTGCCACAGTAGCAACACAAGCATTATACACAACGCTAATCCAAGGCAGAAAAATAAATGGACACATTTGCAGCCACATCCATGCAAATACACTTCGAATTCTGCAACAAACAAAAAAAGCAGAGCTGCAACGCTTTACCCACCGCTACGTAGTAAATTTAGGACAAAGTTGAAAAGAAACCTAGAGGAAGTAACATGCCATCTGTGTTTTCCTGTATACTACGTTAGCCAGGCTTGTACAAGGCATAAACACTTTATAGAGGAGTATAAAAGCAAAGCTTTGAGTGCAACCACTTCAAGCGCATTTCCCTCGATCGAGTGAATCCCACTGCTTTTTCTGCACCCTGCCAGCTCCAACTATGTGCCTTCAGCCTAAGCACATACATGCAAGGAGTCGTGCTCTTCTCTGCTGACAAACTATTTTAACTTTTAGTTTTCACTGCTTCCTAATGCCTTTTTTTCACAAAACGTGCATAACTCAATCATTTACCCCATGTTAGCAAGGAAAGAGTTGCTTGGTCCTGTTGGGGAACGAGGTCTTTCTGGCTCATCGTACACTGGTGGAGGAATAGCTGCTTTTGAAGATGGTGCCCGAGGTCTTGACTCCTCTTCATATGGAAACGATGCTACAGCTGAAGAAAAGAGACATTTGCTTTTTCACTAAAACAACTTTGCATGAACTACCTACTTGTTGCAAGCAAGTACTACGCCTTCCACCTAACTCACTTACAGACCTTCACCTGCAATTGTCCTTTTTCTACTTTAGTACTAACAAATAGCTAAAAAAAAAAGTCTCACACACAAATCTAAATCTGAAAAACATTTCCTCAGCACATGCTGCTTTAACATCCCTTCACCCCTCTCTCAGAAAAAAGATCTGAGTTGACTTATTCTTGATTTTCCTTTCTGGATACACAGCGAGTTTACATCAGCTCATCTACAATGCACTTATGAAGCTTTCACTTATCAAATGGAAAAAAGAAACATTAAGAGGCCACCTGCACTACAATGAGTTTTACTGGCCCTGTCCAGGTAATTTAAAAGCCCCTTTCATCAAGAATGGAATTATGACCAAAATAGATCAATCCACACAGCTCTGGCCTGAGGACTGTAAAGAAAAGTACATGGAATATTTACACAGAAGAGACATTAGTTTATTACAAAAGAAGAAATGCAACTGAAAGCAGTTTTTATACAGTCTTAAAGAGATCTCGCTGACCATTTCTGACAGCAACTTTTCCTAGGGGCTAGATATATACGCATTTCTATACCTATATACACACCTCCCAGTGATACCAATTAGATTATTAAACTACCTTTGACTGACAAGTCAAATGGCAAAAATGTAAAAAGCCTACCGAATTATAAAAGAAAGACGCAGAACACACTTTGGAATCTGCTTATGGACTTTTACACTGACTTAATTTGAGATGATTATCTGGTGAACGAATACTTGTATCTTACCAACTAAAGGGTCTGATGTGAAGTCTGGGATGTTGTACAAGAGGAAAAAAAAATAAATCCCTATTTAAGCAGCAGATGGGCTGCACAAAGGGACTTCTGCTACAGCAATATTTTCTCAGGTTTTTCCAGCCCTAGCCTTGAGCATCAAGTAACAAGCCATACAATGGTTTCCTTATGAGATCACATCACATTCCAAATGCTCTCCCCCTCAGGATATTTCTACCACTTCCAGCCTATATTTACTTTTCCTTGACACCACTCAATTGCTCTTAATTATTTACTCAAAACAATTTATTTCTGTTTTTAACGTTTACACGCTACAAATACTTCCACTATTATAACATTCACTAACAATTTTTTAAAAAATAAAGTGCGGCAGAGTATCTTCTCATAAATAAAATCAGGGCTCCCAAAGGAAAGTTTGTAAGCTTAAGATTCTTTCTTCTTGCTATTTTCAAACAACATACAAAACCTGCTGGTCATTATTTTAATTTTAAGATGTTAGACAATTAGACAAGCGAAAAACCTGAACGGTTTTGCTCTCACAGCAAGATGATGCCATCTAGTGGATAACTGCAACCTAGTCCACACCCATCTCTAGCAAATTAGCCCTCAAAAACTTACAAAATTCTGTCTGTCGTGCGTAATTCCTTCAGGGAAGATATTCATAAAGTACCTCCTAAAGTAAAGGGTAATGGAAAATTGCCCTCTCCATGCTGCGGAGGTTTCTAGTCTACGCAGAGAAACCTCTCTGCAACATTTCTTCTTTCACATCAGAAATGAGCACGGCTCTAACAGACCAGTTTGCCAAATCACTTCTCTAGCAATACAGAAAGAATCCTTCAGAACCCAGATGTTGAACACAGCTGTTAGCGCAGGCTCCCCACAGCACCCCCCCATCTACAAAGAACTACTGCAAGTTCTTTTGCCACAAAGAATCATATGAGAAGAGTGTGGCAGGAGGGCTAAACTGAAGGTTAAGTGAGAAATAAGCACCACTGCTAGGTTTTAGGGAACAGGACTTTGGTTACGTACGTTCTTTGTCCTTCTCAACAAGAGAAGTGGGTGGTGCAATGGCAGCTCCTCCCATACCTATGAGGAAAACAGAAGACGACACATTCATACGATCAGGTTCTGCTGCTCAGAATAGTTTTGCTGTATTTGAACAGAGCTGCTGGCTCCTTACGAGCCGATTAAGATACATCACTAACAACAGAAGAGCACCAAGAGAGCAATCTGTGAAGTTTCAGAAGTGGTAAACTAGGAATGAATGAAAGGCACCTCAAGGGAGACAACATCAGACTGCAGTGATGTACTTCATACCATGTCTATCATAAACATGTTTCATTGGATTTCAAAACTGCAGACTGCAGTGAAACAAATCTTCAGTTCTAAAAACTGAACTTCTTAAAACCACTTGATTAAGCCAAATGAAAAAGATGCTCTCTTCGGGATTAGCTACACTTGCGTAACAGTAAAAAGTACAAAGGTCCTTCCATACTTTAATGAGCAATATTCTAATGTAGTCCCAAAATTCAAGACACAGGAAATTTTTTCAATGTCTCCTGTCAGAAATTTTCTTCTTTAAAATAATAATGGACCCAAATTACTTACTGTAACTTTGTTGCTGAAAGAGAACAAAGTTTTATTTTGTTTATGCAACATCTCTCATCACCCAGATCCACATTTTCTAACTGATTCTAAGGGTGTTCAAATCACAAATGCAGCAATGGTAAGCTTTAATAGTGAAAACTCAACAGTGATTCTCATAGTCTGATTTCATCTCACGCTTCAACTGTTTCCTGAAGTCTACGAAACTTCAAGCAAGTATCTACACACTAATGCAAAAAGAGGTCTTTCCACAAATAATTTAGCTGCCATTTGCTTCCATGGAAAGAATAGCTTTTTGCATTACAACAGTAATGACATAATAAAATACTAGGTTTATTCTAAAGGCTCAGCAGTAACAGTATACTTCCCAGCTGAGAACAGAGAAATACAGAATCCATGAAACAGGAACTGTGAATACCCTCTCGCCTTTTTCTCCTCTTTCCTTGAGAAAAACATAAACAGCTCCCTTACTTCTTTTCCGTCTCTCCCTTTCATAATCTTCATCTTCATCAGAATCTGGATCTGGTCTTCTTGAAAACCCACTGGCTTCATGTCTGTCTTTACGTCTTCTAGGAGACACAGTACATTAGCATTAAGAAATCACCGAAGTTAACTCTTTGCTTCAGTTTGTGGTATCATCTTTGCAGCGTGAAATATACTGCTGCACTCTAATTAGCATTTTACCATGTTCTCCATGAAGGTGTAAGTAAACACCTTTAGTTCTTGTTTCTCTGCTTTTATCCTCACAGAGTATTTTTTGCAGATCCGAAGCAAGAGTATTTTCTACTTGCAAGTCAGTCAAGACGAATGTATGGAAATGAGGAATCACCTGAATAAATCTAGTCCAAACTGACTAGTGACTGAACCACTACCACGGAAGAAACGTTGGATAGAACTGATAGCAAGGTAACAGAGACATTAAGCTCCCTGCTTTGAACAGGTACCTTTTAAATCCCCCATCATGGGCTATACACGATATTATCATTCATTCAATTAGAAAACAAAAATGTCACCACTCTTAAACATTGAGATGCCAGTTGGGCATTTAAAATAATATTCAGGTAAGTCTATTACAACTTTTAACATTAGGTGGAATGCTTCAAGAGTTGTTTGCACTTCAACTGTTAGTTACGGCACCTGTGATATTACTCATTTTACACTTTAGAAAAAAGGCAAGTATTTTTCCCAAAAAGTTAAGAGCACAGCTTCGGGCAAAAATCAGATCTCGTTCCCAGCACAGCCATCAACACCGCACTGCAGGATGCTAAAATTAGCACTACTATGGAGGCAGACAAATTTCTGCATCTTTACATTGAATCAAAATCGAACATATGCTCTGTTCAAACACTCAGTTTGTCACAGAGCACACACTTGATGTAGGTTTGGTTGAGATGGTTTCCTCAATTTTAAAAATCAGGATGCATTACTTATTTTTCCCTTCCTCTCTCTGATTTTTTATATAAAGTCTCCCGCCCTTTTGGCCCACATACATCAAGTACAAGGCACAATTAAACAGCAATCAACACAAAGCTGTGGAAATGACAGCCCAGATTTCCAAGATCCTGCACGCTAGCTGGTGTGTAAGAGAGCCTCAGATAATCCTCCTCAACAGTGAAGATAAAACAGAGAGAGGATAAAGAAGTCCAAATGATCAGAAATATTCATTTTCAGAATCTAAACAGAGCATTACAATATCCCCCTTGTAATTCCACAGGCTTTAGATGATTCATAACATGATGAAACCTGATTATTAATTTCCCTTAAAATAAGCAAACACAATCTTACTGCCTGGCTGGCAGATGTTTTACCACCTATTTCAATAGGACACAGAATTTGCATCCAAATTCTTTAATACGATTAGAAAGATTTCTTCTTCCAAGGAAAGGGCATTACGGTAATTAAAAATAAGTAGTATTTTCTTTTGTCCATAGACAAAGAAGTAATAAATACACAATTAAACTGAATGCAGAATATTAAAAAATGAAAATGCAACAGTGCCTCTCAGAGGCTGCACTAGCTACACCTTTAACACCGAAACATGTTCATGTATCAGTCTGGAATATTTAAAAGCAGAAAGGAAGGGTTATCAGTAGTGTTGAAAGGTTCTCCTGCAGTCATGTTATAATGACAAGAAATGCTCTACAATACCTGCAAATTCAAGGTCTGATAAGGATGCAAGAAGCAGCCAAATACTGCTGCTACCACCCAAATAAAGTAAACACAGAAAACCTTGACAAGTCTTTCAGCCAAAGAGGCTGAAAACGTGACAAATCCTGTAATTCTTGCACTATTAGACAATTTTCAAAAGTGCATATTAATTAAATCAAAACATACTAATTAAAACAACAAGCTTGTTTATACAAGCACACAGTATCGCTGTTTGGAATTTCCCTGGAACTATTTAGAGGGATAAACCAAACCAGATCGATTTTTCTATTTTTTCCTTAACTGTCAACATGTAATGAATTTAAACAAAAGCCTTACTTTTCTCTTTCTTCAATTTCCTTTTGCCTCTCCAGCTCACGCTGCCTCTGTCGTTCCTCTCTTTGACGTTTTACCACTTTCTCGTAGTCATTTGGGAACATGGGATCATACTCATCCGCCAAAGGAATCAACACATCTCCCGCAGAAAAACCACTGGGTACAGGATCCTTAATAAAATTAAAAAAAAAAGAAAAAGAAAAGAAAAGAAAA